TAAGTAGAGGTAAAAGAAACCAATAGGTATTTATTTTATGGGCTCGACAAAAACATACAGAATGCAGTTTCATAACTTTACCGATACTTACAATATCTTTGGTTTTATCACAATACATAATATTTTCCTCTAGGCTATTTTCACCAACTCTTAATTAATCACCTTAAGTTATTGAAAATAAATAGGACAAGAAAAATGGTCAACTACTGATACAGCAGACAAACATCTTGAGATTGATGTAACCCTCAGTCCACCTAAAAAAAGACCAGTCAAGGGACATTTTGACGTTAAATCAATGAAAATGATCATAAATATATTTAAAACTTAAATGCGAAAAATGCGATTTCTATTAGACTAGCAGATAAAACGGGTACTGACATTATTTTTTAGAATGCGCATTTTCACTTTATTTAATAAGCATTGTTAGTTCCTATCTATTGTGGGCGGGTGTAAGCGTAGTGTACGAAACATGATTCAAGAATATTACGGGAACATTATCGACACCTAAATCAATTGAGTATCGTAAAAATATCAACTGGCTTAATGAATTTGGCAGAGAAGCGATAATAAGAATAATCCACGAAATCTTTTTTTTTTTTAATGAAATAACCACAATATATAAAGTTCTGGGGGTTGTTAATAAAGATTCGGTTTTGCCAAATTTCAAAAGAACCGCTATTTTTAAATTATTGAAAAAAAATTTAATTCTCTGATTTCTTCAGTTTTCTTCTTTTAGTTTCTTCCTATCGATATATTCTGTTCTTCCAGCATCGTTAGTTCTTATTATGTTAGCTCTTATTTTAAATAGGATGATTCTATTATTTTCTTTTGTTTGATAGTGGAAATCGCATAAGGATTATACCAGGTGAATCGTACCTGGCGTGTGTTGGATTCACGGAATATGACGCATTTCCCCTTTTGGGGGTCTTGCCTCCGGATGCCTCCTATATCTCTTTTATTTATCTGTATGTTTATATGTATTTTATATTTAATTTATATTTGTCCTTGCTGTCTTACCCCTTCTAAAATGCCCCTTTTTATAATTTTTGGTATGCATTCAAATTATACATAAAATCATTTTTACCCTTCCCATAACCGTGATTATTTGCGCTATTACATTGAAATACATAATGTTCAGTATCATTACCTGCACAGTCCGTACAGTTACTATTCGTTGTTTTGCCTATTCTTTAAAGATAGGCTCTGTGTCTATGATGGGTAAATATTTCCCCATTTAGCTGTTTTCCTCCTCATCATCGCTGCCGCTAGCGGTGCATATATATATGAGTCCAACTTTTCGCTCTAACAAATGTTGGTTTGCCGTTGTTACGTGCTGATATGTTCATTGCTTGGATTACCCCATTCCACATAATCTCGTCTGGCACCCTTCTGTGGTGCTCCCATAGCACAGATTTCGAATTTATGTCACCCGTAATCATTAATCTCTTTTTTCTTCTTGCATGACTGGCTATGTCTTCCGTGACTTTTTGTATTTCTCTGTTTCTGATATAGATTGTGACGTCTTGCTTCTTGTCTACAATCCATCTTCTTTTAGTTGTAATATTTTGTGTAATACATCCACCCTAGTTTACTCATTTATTATCATGAGTATGTCATGCACCGACTTACATCTCCCCAGGTTCACTTGTAGTATTATCAGCCTTTTAAATTGTTCTATTGTTGCATTGAATTTATTTATTAGTTTCCCCGTTCCGCTTTGAGCTCTATCTTCATTAAAAATTTCCTATACACCAAACAGTCGTTGGTGTTCGTTATGTGTTCGTTGTTACATATGCCGCAATAAGGTGTATTGTGTCAATTTTTCACCTCCTTAGCCTATATTTGGACGCCACAGTTGTGTATGTTACTAACCCGATTTTGACCCATTTATTGCTTATTAGGCTTTCGGCTGCTTTCGTGTTGGCCGTTACTATTACTATTTGATCCCCCTGTATCCCGTGTTTCTGTTAAGAATTTTTATTGTCTCTCCTTCTCTCTATCCCAAGTGTTCTTTAAATGCTTAAATCACTTCTTCGTCTCTACTTAAGTAGGGACATAGTACATAGTTTCATCTACTTAACTTCCAGTCCCATTTTGCTCGCTATCTCTTTATAGTTAAGTCTTTTATTTTATTTCTTTTTTCTCTTATTTCCAATTTAAGATTCCCGTAACGTTTCCTTTAGAGTTTTAATTTCTCCCTCGCTATTTGTAACATCTACCTTATTTCTTACTGTTTGTACAAGTTGTGCATATTTTCTATCTCCGCATTTTAAAAAAGGTATTTCCACATTCTGTCTTAGATTTGGGAGCCCCACAGTAATGGTCACTACTACATTTTGTAAAGAACATTCCAGGGCCTTTCTGTAATTCTCCCAAGCCATATCTTGTCTAATTATACCGAACAAGTTTTGGTCTTTGTTCTCTCTTACTGTACTCGATCGGAGTCACGTATGCCACCTTTGTGTTTAATTTACTTCTTCCCCTCCTAGGTTCAGATGCACTAAGGACGTAGTCCGTACTGCGTTCCTTTATTATTCTGTCCAGATCGATATGGCCTTAAACCTATTGCATGGTGTAATTGCCCGTGTCGCTTTTTCCTTGGCTACTGTTATTATTATATATTTGTCCCCTGTTGGCGCTTTTTCTCTTCTTTCTATGATTTAAGCTATTCTGTACCCTGTTTCATGCCATTCTTCTTCAGCATATCTTATAAATTCCTTTTTTGTTATTGCTCTTTCTAGGATGGCAATAATTTCTCCCTCAATTCTCTTTCTTCTTAAATCTATATCTTTTCCGATATCCCCTTCATTTACTTGCGTCCCCATTTCTTTCGTCTCCACCGATTCTTGTTCACTGGGTTTTTTATACGACTGCATCTTGGAATGCATTCGCTTTGTTGCCTTGTATATCTCCTGCATCATCTTCTTTATTTCCACCTTTGTAATTACGTATTCTTTTGTCATGTCAACCATTGTTCTTAATGTTTCATATATTTTTTCATATACGTTAATCTTTCACTTTCCATATCATTTTCTCCTTGATTAACCTCCAATATCAAGACCTCTGCTTTGGTCATCTTATAATTTTTCTCTTTTCATTTTCATTTATATTACCTACCGTTTTCTCGCTGTTTTCGTCATCAGGTATATCTATTAGGTTGTTTATTGTTTCTTCTACTTACATTACCTTGCCACGAGTTGGGAAGTTACTTTTGTCCGGCTGGACAGTGCCACCGTACCCGGCTAGACTTCACGCGAATTCGCCTTGTTTACGAGGGCACCATTCTAAACTACTTCCGAGTAGCCATTCATCCCCTGGTTACGGTGGCTCACGAACCGATGTTTATTTATCTTGTTAGTTTACCGCCTGTTGCTTCTCAGTGCAGCTGCTTATCCTACATGGTGGTGAGGCGAAAAGGAAGAAGCTCCGAGGATAACTATGTAAGCCGAAGGCGGTCGACTGGAAAATAAATTTTTTTTACATTAAATTCAGAACCAGAGAAGACTGCTGTATTGGTGGTAGAAATAAAAAAGTGCGAAGAATAATATGTCTTAAGAAAAAGGAAACCTGGCAACGAAAGTGTAACATGAAAAATTCTTATTTAGGAGGACGTAAAACACATAAATTTAAAGACTATTAAAATCACTACGACAGGAAAAAAAGAGATAGAATCTTACTAATTAGGTACACCAGATAGATAAAACGAGTATTTCGAAAGACTTTTAAATGAAGACAGACCAGACTTTAAACAGAACAAAGAAATCCATAATATAAATATAGCCTAGCCGCACCTATACGAATAACACCATAAGAAGTAGAAGAGATATATAATTCGTTAAAAAAATAACAAAGCACAAGGTATAGGAAACATCCCTCATCATCATTCAGCCCATACTCGTCCACTGCTGAACATAGGCCTCCGTAGTTCACCCCACAAATTTCTGTCCTGAGCCGCCTGCATCCAATTTTGATGTGTCCGTTTCAGGTCATCCGTCCATCTTGTTGGTGGTCGTCCTCTATTCCTAAAGGCATCTTGTCTGGGTCTCCACTCAAGAATGCGTTTTGTCCATCTGCCGTCCTTCGTTCTCGCGACGTGCCCTGCCCAGTTCCATTTTAAGGTTGATATTCTTTTGATTGCGTCGGTTACTCCCGATCTACGGCCCAATTCTGTGTTGGGTATTCGGTCTCTCAGGGTTAATCCCAACATGGACCGTTCCATTGCCCTCTGTGTTGTTCGAATTTTGATATTCATTCGGATGTTGTTTCGAACATCCCTACTGAACTAATAAAATACGACACAGAAAAGTTATATGAAAGCCTAGCTAAACTTTTAACAGAGCCCAACTTTAAGACTCACATGCATTAACGGTGCTCAAATTTAAGTCTCAAGTGCATTGACGGAGCGAAAATCCCAGAAGAATGGAAGACATCATTCGTATCTACTAATCACAAGAAAGGCAGAAGGGACGATAGAATATACGGAAAAGTAATTAAAGGTAGAATAGAAAATGAATACGAAGATATACTTAGAAGCCGAAGAACAAAGCGGGATTCAGGCGGGCAGGTAGATCAACTATTTACCATTTTATTCTAACTTTTGATTTTTTTATTATTGACTGTAGTTAACTAGAATATATTTAGACCGAAAGTAATACCTATATGTAGTTAAATATGATCTAGAGACAATTCTATAAAAATATAATATATCTTTTATTGAAAATTAATATTTATATTATGTTTTTTTTTTCGCCTTGAAAACCAATAATTTCTCAACGCACTCATTAGTTAGAATTTTTATAAAATGTAATAGAATAATGCAATTATATTAAATTTTTATTTTTGCGATACTAAAATTACCGCCTTTATACTCACAACTAAATTTAAATTTGGGGATTTTAATTTTAGGTCAAATAAGTGACTCATAACAACCACACCCCTCCATTGTCAAACTTTTCTCGCCAATCAGATTTGAGCATTAACTACCAGTTTAAAAATGGCTGTAAAAGCGTAAACGTCAGTTGTTGACTATTCTTTATTACACTTATTTTTGCCAAATACACTCGAAATAAATAAATAGTTTAGTATATTGTAAAACTGTGGTGATTTTAAAATGTCCAGTGAGTCTGTGAAAAACGTACGTGAGAATAGTTTGTTTTTATACAAAGGAAACTTTTCTTTTTTTTATTTGTTTACTTTTTGCTTGGAAAACTTAAGGATGTATTCAAAGAATGTTTTTGATAATTATTCGATGAATACACTATCTGAAACAAATATCAATAATGCAAGACGTTAAATGACCATTTTTATTTATTCTCCTCTGTTATTAGAAATATGCAGCAGACCTGGAGCTGAAATGAAAATAACGGAATTAAATAAATGAGAAGGTCCAGTTAACTTAATATTAAAACTGGTTGAAGCACACAATGAGTTTTATTATTATAAATACCGAGAGTAAACCACTGCTATTATATCTTCTGAGTGTCAAATATTAAGAACTAATAAAAATTTAAAAAGTAGAGGAAGTAATGTGCTCTTATAGAACAAAAAAGCCACTGTAGATCAATATTAATATAAAAAACCTTTGGATTTTTATATATTCCTATAAATCCAATAATTATGTCTTCAGATAATAAGTATAATAATTATACTTAGTTTTTTTATCAATAATAATATCTTTACTTGACAAGGTTTTAATGTTTTTATTTTATTTGTAGTTCTCAAGTTTGGAAACGCCAGGGTATGTTGGTTTTGCTAATTTGCCAAATCAAGTTCACAGAAAGTCTGTGAAAAAAGGTTTTGAGTTTACTTTAATGGTAGTTGGAGAGAGTGGGCTTGGAAAGTCTACTTTAGTTACCTCTTTATTTTTGACTGATTTATATCCAGAAAGACTTATTCCAGATGCTGTGGGTAAGTTGTAATATTGTATAATTTAAAAATAGTGGTTAGATATATTAAGAGTTAAATCTTAGTTGGATAAAGTATTTTTTGGTAACTGCTATTGAAAATATTCAATATCAACTGCTTAAGTGCAAAACTTTACAAATCATGGTAAAGTTTTTTAAAGTTTTGATTTTGTTAATTCTGCCTAACCAGTATCCCTTGTCAGAGCGTGGTGACACTCTAAATATTATTGGTTGCAATCTTGTGCCATATGGATGGCTTCATGTAGGGATTTTCCCACCAGAGTTTTCATTTGGTCTGTCCATCGTGTTGGAGATCTTCCTCTTGGTCTTTGGCCTTCTACCTTTCCTTCTACTACCAATAGTTCCATGGCCAATTTACTTGATAGAATCTTTTAAAAGTAAAACAGATATACAATTTATATAAAAGATATTTAGGGGGAAAACAGGAAAACAAAGCTTTGTATTTGTATGTTTCTGCACTGAACTCAATCTTTCTATTTATAATCTCAAAAAGAATTACTGCATTAATTGCTGTTACTGCATGTATGAAGGGCAATACCAAAATACCAACATTATATTAAAGAAAAGATTCATCTGTAAGTGACATATCAAAGTATACAAAGCTGCAAACAATCTAATTATTCACCACTAACTTACTGCTGGAATGAAACTTAAGATGAACATGTATCATCAATATTCACTACTTGTGTATTAAAGCATCTAGAAGTTTTGACTTGCATAGAAACAGAAAGTCATAATTGTCAATTTTGCAGTTAAACATAGTGTGTTAATTTTGCTAAGTTTTAAGAAAAAGTCACACAAATTTAAATTGATTTCACTCATGCTTTAAAAGAAAAACCCTAACACAAGACCTTAGCCAGAAGATTACATGAACTTTTTTTCTTGAGTGAGCACTATAGCAGTGAGTGCTTAAAAAGTATAAGATTTAATCTAATTAAGCAGTAAATCTAAAAAAAATTGCTTGTTTTTGAAAACATTTTTGATTTTATGTTAATTTTCTTATACTGGCTGAAATTGTCTAGTTAATCCAAAATTGCCCATTTTAGCATCATAAACCACTTGAAACGATCTTGATCCATGTTTGATCCCTCTATTGAATATTTTGTTATACAATGAAGTCTTGAGGTGCTATATATTTAATGATTATCTTTGTTTTCAATTTATTATATCTTTTGTTTAATTATTATCTTAAAAGTTTAAAATAAACTTATCTTAGATGCCTAAGGTAACAATCATATATTTTATTGACAGTAAAAAATATGACACACAAGGATGTATTGAACAATTCTTAAATTATTATAGAAACAAATAAAATTTTAAAGAATTTTATTATTCAACATACTCATTTTTTGTATTCTTTTGTTCGGATATTGCATCTTTTGAGGTAATGTGTATATAAAACTATAATCTTCGATAAATAATTATTTCCAGAAAAAATGAAACAGACTGTGAGATTAGAACCTTCTACTGTTGAGATAGAAGAAAGGGGTGTAAAACTGAGACTCACTGTAGTCGATACTCCAGGATATGGAGATGCAATTGACAATAGGGATTCTTTTGATGAAATAATTGGTTATATTAACCAACAATTTGAGCGATTTTTAAAAGACGAATCTGGTTTAAATCGAAAGAACATCATGGACAATAGAGTACATTGTTGCTTCTACTTCATCTCACCTTTTGGGCATGGGTAAGTTACTTTATATTCTTTAATCTGTTTTATATAAAGCTTTTACCATTTTGAATTACGATTAAGATTAAGAACTTATTATTTCCTAAAAATTATTCGATAATTAGTATAATTACATTATTATAATTACATTATTGTAAGGATGGCAGCAACAATGATATTAATAAAAATAAGAAAAAAATCCCCTTCATGTTCTTATTTTTGTACTTCTTCACATATTTTTTCTCTCTTCACAGCTAAGTAGGAAATTACAAAGGTAAGGACAAATTGGTAGATGATAAAGAAATGAAAATAGGAGCATGAAACATAACATCATTAACATGAATGAATGAATGAACTAGGAATTAAAATAATGGGGATCAGGAAAATCAAAAAAACAGGAAATGGAAAAACAAAATTATATGGAAAGTATGAACTATACTTTTCTTCAGTGCAACAAATACAGAGAGCCAAGGAACAAGTAGGAGTAATTCTTTCAATAGAGTTTAGCATTAGAACAACAGAATTCTGACCAATCTCCTGAATAATGTATATAAAACTGGAAATGGGAAGAAGTATGGTATATAATACAGATATATGCCCCAGTAGAGGGGACAGATGAAGATACAATGGCCATATTCTATAAAACATTACAGCTCACTCTAGATCAGCTGCAAGAAGAGAATAAAAACATTCTCAATGGGAGACTGAAACACACAGATAGGAAATGATTCAAATAAAGTACTTGGATGTATGGGAAGTTAAAGCTAAACAATAATGTCTGTATTATTTTGTATTAACTACTTTTTCACAAGATAGTAGAAGTGGTTTGCTGTTATACTTTAAAAAACAAAAAACTTTCCATCTTGACCTACTACTACACAGTCATTCAGATATAATAAGCAGTTATTTGTGGAATACAATGAAGCTGACTTTATTTATTAACAGTGCAGTTACTCGACACACACTTCAACGTAACCAATGTACAATAAGCCAATTGGTTGCAGTGCAACCAATTTACATGTAAAAAATTACATACTATTGATATAATGATGATTTTAAAGACCATAATCTTTGATTTCTGGTGTACTGTTTTGAGAACATAATTTGCAAGCGTCAAATAAAGTTTTTTGCCTTTCATTATTATTTTTTAAATTATTGCTTGCTCTGTTCCGTTTTTATTTAATTCGTGTCCTAAATAAGTGAAGTTCTTCCCTGCTTTAACACTGTTCTCTACTCTAATTTGACCTATACATCCCTTTGATCGTCTAGAATTTCGGTAATGTATCTGTGACCATTCAACGTTCCTCTACAAACACGAGATCAATACGGCCTTCGAATGAAATGCCTGCCAACACATTACAGAGCCTCCTCCAAAAACAACAAGTGCCCGTCGAGCACAAGCAGCATATCGTTCCCCACGTCTTTTGTATGTGCCACAAAACACCATCCTGGACTCCTCACTTAAACAAACCATCTGCTATCGATTCTCGTGCCTCTAAGAAACTTCGGCGTTGTTGATGTGCCGCTGTCAACAAAGGTCCTGTTGCTGGGTAGCAAGCCCTTAGACCAAATTCCCCCAACATTCTTACCATAGAAGTTCTTAATGTCCACCGTGAGATTTTTGAACACGGTTTTGGATTGCTCTAGCCGTAAAGAATCGGTTTTGCAAGGAAGTGCTTTTGAAAAGAACGGTCTTCTCTGGCCGTCGTTATTCTTCTCGCACCTGATCCTGGTCGTCGTTCGTGAGATCCAGTCTCTATGAATCGTTGGTATGTTTTTTGGACCATACAACGACTGACTCCAAGTTGTCTGGCCAATTCTCTTTGACTTATTCCATTATCAATCAAAGTAAGAATTTGAACAGATTTAGCAAATCTCTTAGCCATAGTTTTAAATTTAAAAATTGCACAAGTTTACTCTATGAACAACTGTACACTAATGAAAGATTTTTAAAAAACAGAACAGCCATATTCCAAGAAAAACAACATACAAACAACACATGCATTGTCCGAAGTCATAAAACTTATATCAATTTTACTAACGTATTACATCTGTTGGCATCTAGTGGCAGTGCAATAGAATAAACTGCATAAACATAAAATTATTGAAAAATTCTTATAAACTTCTGCGTGGCTTCTTATTAATGACACGCAGGTATTAAAACCCAAATTACATAAATTAAAGTAAAACAAAAAAGGTGTTTTGTCTTTCTTAACATATCCCCCCCCCCCCTTTTGGAGAAGTCCCATTTTAAACGATATTTAGCCTAACTGTCTAGTTTAGCCCTAGCCTAACTTTAGTGATATGAAAAAGGTTTGATTCCATTTTCCTATGTCCAATGTCAACTTTAGATTGAATTGGAAATCTTGTATGGTCAATATTTTGTATGGTCCAATCCTTACTTCATCTAACTTCTTTCTGTTTAGACAGTTTCCATTCTCCACATATACTAAAACTTCAACATTTAATTCAATTTCCTTCCTATACAGATCGAACCGCTTTTTATTATAATTAATTGTTTAGGTTTCCTGTAGCCTGACAGTTTATTAGGCAGAATGCTTAGATTTTTTCTTCTAAAAAATATTTTGGTGCAAATTTGTGTAATTGTGTGTTCTCTCCCATTATATTTTTGTGCACATTCTTGGGCAATAGTTGTCCATAATATTTTCTTGTCATTTTCATTTATTTCGTATCTTATTTTATTAACCAATGTTTGGTTTAGTCGTTCATTGATACCGTTTGAAAATGCTCAATAAACAGCAGTGAATATTTAATTTGATTGTTCCGTAGAAAATTAGTTCTTTGAAATTTATGCCAGGATATTGATCAGTTAGCATAGTTTTAATTTCGTGATCTGGTGTCACCTCTTTAATTATTTTTATGAAGTCGTTAGAATTTTATGTTTTCGATGCCGAAATATTAGCGTATCTTGAGAAATGGTCTACTAAAAGGTATAAATATAGTTTTGTTGATCGAGATCCTCTAAAACACCAGTAGTATCGATGGAAACAATTTCAAATGGATGTGTCGCTGGTCCTAACTCTGACATTAAAGCATATTTAGATTTTCTTCTTGATTTGTTTTTATGCAGATACCACAACTATCACACAATTGTTTTAACGTTAGTAGTCATATTTTTGGCTGTGTAAAATTTTGTTTTTTATTGAACTGTGTGTTTCTTAGGTGGCAGTAGGTATCGTGTATATTTTTAATTAAGTCTTTGCTTAAATCTTCTGATAAAACAATTTTGTCTTTTTTCGACTTTTTATGTATGTATATGTCATTCTTGAACCTGTACTTATGTATTCGATGTATTTTGTAGATCAATATTCGTTGATCATTTTTTTATATCTTCCAGTTTGATTAAGTTTACTACTTTTAGTATTTCATCTTTATTTTCGTGAGATTCTAGAACTGGATTTCTACTTAAACAGTCTGCTTGTTGGTTATATTTTCCTAGATTATTGAGATAAGTAAAATGTCAAGTCTTCCAATTCTTCATCAGTTTTAGCTTTTATGTTTAAATTTTCTAAAGGTTTGTCATCTGAGTATACTAAGAACTCTTTTCCCAGAAGTAAATGTTGCCAATATTTTACAGCTTCTTTTATCACTTAACTTCTAAAATTAGGTATATTGATTTTGATTTGATTGATTTTAGGTATATTGATTTTTTCTTTTGACTTTCTGTTAATTAAAAAAATATATACTTACTATTATATCCTTATTGTTCTTCCTTCTTGTATGTAGGCTTTAAGGCCTGTTTCTTCTTCAATATTAGCCTGCTAAAATGTTTAAATTATCGCACTACTTTTTCTTGGTGTGTCAATACTTCTTCGTCCGTTTGGTGACTTATCTCGTGCTATTCGTACTATCCTATCCTCTGCCATTCTACTAATGTCTTCGTTCCAATCCTTTTTCCGTTTTGTCACCCATCCATTAGTGTTTTTTCGCTTCTCTCTAGCTTGCTTCCTTCTTTATTATTTTCCCATCAATTTTGATTTTACATCGTAGTGGGTATTTAGATGTTATCATACATTTGTTTTTTTCTGCTGATATCATATTGTATTTCTTGGCTGTTGCATTGAAGACGTGTGTTAATCTTTGGAGCTTGTCTTCTGCCCCAGCGATTAATGCGGCGTTGTCTGCATAACATAATATTTGGATTTCTTTATTCCCCATTCTATAACAATGACCTTTGTGTACTGTTTGTATTATTTCGTTCATTATTATATTAAAGAGAAGTTGGCTTAACGAGTCACCCGAGTATAACGAGTATTCGATTATGTTTTCGATGGTTTGCATAGTATTGATTGGTATTGTTCTTTTATACAGTAGGTGTAAGACGTCTTCGTTTTGAATGTGATCGAAAGCCTTTGTTATGTCTATAAAACATAGATATGCTGGTTTATTGTACTCGATGGCCTTTTCTGTGATTTTTCTTACTACAAATACGGCGTTTACGCAGGATCTTCCGGATCTAAATCTTTGTTGTTCATCTGATTTATGTTGTTGTTGTTAATTTAATGATTTTGTTGGTTAGGACTTCTGTGGTAAGCTTAAGTGCTGTGTTTAGAAAATTTATACCTCTATAATTGTTGGGGTCTTCTTTATCTCCTTTCTTGGATATTGGTATGATTATGCTGTTTCTCGATGCGTCTGGTATCTTGCAGTGGAATATTAGTTTTTTTTTTTATAAGTTTTGTTATCTTTAGGGTTATACTTTCTCCTCCGTATTTTAGAAGCTCGTTGGTTATTCCGTCTGGTCCTGGTGAGTTTCTATTTTAGAGTGAATTTATGGCTATCTCTACTTCCTGAAAACTGATTTCTGTTTCGTGTCTTAATTCAGACGTTATTGTGTTCATCATGATTTTCTTTGCTTTAAACAGTTCTGTCAGGTATCTTTCCTATTCGTTTGCTGGTATGTTATTGTGTTTCTTCAATTCTGCCATTTCTTTCTGTTGGTTTCTTATGAATCTCCATATTTATTTCGTATACCGTAGAAGTCGCTTTTCATCCTT